AGAAAAAAAGGCTTCTATAATAATAATATTTTGTCTACGTATAGACTTTTGCATACAGCCTGTAAACAAATTTTTGATATATATACTTTAAGAGCGGATATTTCATACTTGAATATATTAAAATAAATAAATTTTAACAAAAAAAGACTGGTTATTATTTTAATTGATCGTAACTTTCAAAATAATGTGAATTTTTTAGAAATTGTTGTTCAGACTGTATGTAGAAGTCTTAGCTATATATAGGCAAACTATTTTTTTTATAGAAGCCTTTTTTCTTAAAAGAAAAATGTTTTGAAAATATGTCACTTTTTTTTCCTTTATTCCTTAAAAAAATGCATTTGAATCATTTAAGTTGTAATGATTTTTCTAAATCTATTTTTTATGTATATTCTACTTCAACTGACATTAAATTTTAAAAAAAAAGTCATTCCCTTACACGCTTTTTCGAAATTGCGGTTTTGAACTAAAACCTTAACATCTTTGCAAATTTTCTACAAATTCGAATTCCTTCAACATTTCAAATTATTAATGTTTGGCTGTATGAACTCTTCAACCTTAAATTCGTCTATCACAAACAGATAACTTCAACAAAAATCATTAACAATTCCACACAGTCTAAATGAACTGCATAAGGGATAAAATCCTATTTCTTTTTCAGCCTGTTCAATAAATCCCAATTCCTTTAACCTTCACATTTATTCCTTTATTTGCTATGTTCTAGATAGCTCTATGATTTGATATATATACGGTAGCTTACAAATACCCATTATATACTAAACAGATAATGTATACCATTGTATTAAAGTGAAAAGTTATCTATTTTCATTTTACTCACAGGTATTTAATGAAACCGGTTCTTTCGCAGCGATAACTATACGAAGGGCACTCTATTTTCCCGGGCCTGTGTAAAAGTGTGGTTCGGTCAATCAGTGTCACTCCCACAGTGATGGTTGCCAAGTTTCCGAGATTAGTGGGGAATGGGGACAAAAGAGCTTCATTTTTCATAAAAGTCCTATAAGATATCGCTTGGGACTAGTTTAAAGATAGGACGTTTACCTGTAATGGCAGAAAAGAATTTCTCAGTTGCGCGTAGAATATCTTCTTTTAAGTTTACAACATCAGGAATGTATATGTTCTAGGGAAATTCTAGAACTTATAGTTTATTACTTCAAAGCTGAAAATAATTTTCGTAAAAGATCTAAAAATTAATATTTAGAGAAATAAACAAATGGAAATTTCTCATATGGGCTTTTAACAAGAATTTTGTTTAATATAGTTGAAAACAATCGTTTCCTCAGATTTCTGTGCTACAAGTTGGTTTTTCTAATATTGTATAATAGAATTTATCAAAAGAATATTATTCATAAAGTAGCAGTAATTCCTCTCTTATAGAGGAATTTAATTTTAGTTAAATTTCTTTATCGTGATTGATGAGAAATTAATTAAAATCGATGTACATAGTTTCGAGTAAGTGTTTATTAAAGTTGCTCTCTATAACGATACGAGGGCTATTGGTGACGGATCTCGCAATTCTGAGCTACGATTAACAGACATGGATGACACGTAAAATGGCATCCCACTCTCCTAACTTTCCCGCCAGGTCAACATGAAGACTTTGAGTCACGATAGATTTAACGTGTATCAACCCCTCTACTTGGCGAGTCTTCAGTAGTATCAGGATTGTAACTCGTTAATATTTTTAAATTGTCGCAAAAGGATTGATTGGTGCATAATTTGGTACATATTTTCATACAATGCACTTGAATACAGTGAAATTAAAATGTTCTGTGTAAGGTTTGCTCTTTTCTTCTTCCTTATGTCATTTTGTATAATTTTATATTTAGTTCTATCTCGATTCCTCTTCTCCCAGTTCATTTCCTGAAATTTATGGAGATATATAACAGAGGAGATAACTGTATCCTCTATTGTCCCTTTATAAATTTTCTCGGTAAGCAATCGGTAGGAGTTTGATTGATACCAAAGACTTGTGATCTTGTCTTGAAAGTCTTGAAAGTACCCTTTCAAGCAACACTGTTTGTAAAAGATTGCATAATTTTGGGGGGAAAAACTTTGGTCTAATCCCATGGAGTTATAAGCTTCCACATTACTCTAACTGGAGTACATTGAACCTCGATAGATTTAACATGTGTAATTTCCACGTCACACATCAGGTTTCGATCACAAGACTTGACTTAATGCCAAGTAATAGAGAGGACAAAAAGTAGCTTAAAATAGAAGGATATACTACAGGCAAGATGAATAAAATTAAAGTCACGAGTACCACACAGAGAATATTGCAACTACCTGATTATAGGTGACTTAAGTCGAGAGTTTGGCCATACATTTAAATTAAGGGGGCATGGTACGGTTTAAGCAAAAAATTTAAATTTAAGGTTTTTTAAAATTTTTTTTTGGTTGCTTCATATGTGTCTATACTATGTAAAACATATTTTGTGCTCAAAATTTCATAAAAGGCTAGCCATTTAATTTTTTTAAGGAAAAAACTTAAAATTTGGGAGGTGATTTTAAAATGCTACTCCTCCTACAAATATTTACATACACGCATGAAATTTGGTTTACAAATAAGTCATACTATGTATAACAAAAGTTGGTATGTGTTTTGCAATAACATAATCTGCACATTTCATACAATACTTCTTTTTATGAATACTTATTGAAAATTCCTTCAAAAATGTGTAAATTCTTAGTTCAATTATTTTTTAAAAAATAAGTATTGCTTTGATTCAAAAATGCATACTCACTTTTGTTACAAGTACTATTAGCAATTGGTAAAAAATAATTCAAAGCATTAGGCACAATAGAAAAAAAAAGCCTTAGCTTTTTAAATGAAGACAAACTAGTTATTTTATCTTTCGGAGATAAGTAGGCTAAAAATTTTGATTTGTTGTAATAGGAATATGAATAAAAACGAACGTAAAAGCTCACATAATTCTGCGTTGTTTAGCTTAGAGCTTTCAAATTGTGTGGGGTTACAGAAAAGTATATAAAGAATAATTTATGCTGAAAAAATTGGATTTGATTTTGTCAATTTCATCGTACTGTGCCTCCTTAAGTAATAGTTGCAATTTATGCCTTAATATTCTTAATAAGCTTTTTTGTGCTTATCACAAACAGGACATTTATAGTTTTTCTGAAGTTGAAAGTTGTGCGCAAGTACCATGAATGAAGCTGATTTTCTGACATTATACTGTTTCTCGTCGATTCTTCTACTAGTGAATTCACGTTCATTTTCTGAAATTTATGCTAATGAGTACGAACTGAAGCTTCTACTTTTCCTTTATAAGACTTCTCTCTAAGTGATCGGGAAAATAGGAAATCACAGAATAATACAGGAGGTCGTAGTGTGTGTACCTAATATATATAGAGAGAGATTGAAAGAGAGAGAAAAAAGAGGCATACAGAGAGATATATAGATATATGTGTAGAAAAAGACATAGAGAAATAGAGATAGACATGCAAAGAAATATTGAAAGAGACGTATAAATGTATAGATAGAGATATATAGAAAAGATAGAGACATATAAAGAATGATGTAGGTATATAAATAAAGATATAGAGAGAGATTGACACATAAAGAGAGCGATTGACGTATATATAGAGAGATATAAATATATAGAGAAAGATATAAATATATAGAGAAAAATAGAAAGATATGTATAGAGAGCGAGGGAAAAAAGAGAAAAAAATCTCTTGTACAAACTGTCGCAGTTCCCTTATAATGCATCAAAATTAAATATAGGTTTTGAACATATATTTCGTAGTAGTTTTTGCGTACTTTACATTAACCTTATAATATTAAATTATTTTATATTTTTCTAAAGTAGACGCTCACTTTTGTTTTTCTCTCTCAAAGTGAAATTTCCAATTAAGTTTTAATGGAATATAAAAATATATCATATAAATGAATGATTACTTTGATTTCTTTCTAAATATCTAAGAAATTAATTCACTGGAATCTGCAGGGACTTTACACAGTTGAAAGTGGGAAATAAATTTCCTTTTTTCCTTATGACGAATCCCTGCGGAATAAAGACTCCAACACACAACGAATATTTTCCAACAAGAAACTACATGATTGCCAAAATCTCCCAATTCTACGGAAAATCAACGTTCTTTGTGTTTAAAAATAAAAAAGTCAGTAACCAGCAACTGATTTTTACATTATAATACTTCCTCTTGAAAACTAACAGCAGCCCCAATTGATTAATGCAATGTTTTTGATGGATTTATATATCTAATCTGCATTTCTGTGACATTTTCGACAAAATTCTGAATCCCCTATTAATTGTACAGGGAAAAAAAGATTCTTACATGGCCAATGTTCATAAATCCACATTCTTTGGAATAAACGGTTCTCTGGGTACAAAGTGAGAACAGGTTTTAAGAGGCTTAACTGGAACTAATCCTATTCCCCTAGGAGGATTTTGTATCATTAGTCAACACTTAGAAAATTGCATCAAGACAAAATACGTAACATTAAGGCAAAATAATGAAAGATTATGCTTCTAAATTTCATGATATAACAAGAGCTCTAAAAAATATCCCGTTTAAAATGAATCGATGAAAATACGATTAAAAAGGCTATTAAATTAAATAGCCAGAAATTAGGATTAAAAATAAATATATAATTAATATTAACTTTTTAAGTGCTTTAAAAGACATAATTAATGTATCCCTTATATATAATTAATCGAAATAACAAATTGGTGAATTAAATAAAAAATTAAAATCAATTCCTACTTAGATCAACAAAGAAAATTTTTATTTTAGTTATTTTTTATTAAATAATTACTATTCATATAAATATGTATATACATATGACAGAATTACAATCAAAATAAAAGGCGATTTTTCATTTTCTGTTCTATATTGGGTGATGGACTATTATTTTTGTTTGTTACTACTTGTCCATTAATTAAATTTAATTATTCCAATAAAATAGTACAGTAAAAAAGAAATCACATTCTCAGAAATTAGGCCATCTCAGGTGGGATTCAAACCCATGACCTTTGGATTAGAAATCCAACGAGGTATGCACTGCGCTACAGGGACACAAGAAACAATTTTCCTTTTTATATATGGTATTGGACTATTATTATTTTTGTTACTATTTATTCATTTTTTACTTTAATTTAATAAATTAATATTTGAAAAAAATTGCATTAACATGAAGTGTCAACCCCTACGAGTTTAAAAAAATTATTTTATTTTGAATGGATGAATAGAAAGTATTTTATTAACAATTGAAAATTTGAACCAGATATATATACATATAGAGAGAGGGGGAGGAGGGAGAGAGTGAAATAATAGTAGGAATTGAAAAATATAATTAATATTAACTTTTTAAGTGCTTTTAAACACATAATTAATACATCCTTTATAAATAATTAATCGAAATAATGAATTGGAGGGGAAATTTCTATTTAAAAAAAAGGATAGAATTCCACTTCAAAAATCAAAATGATCAGAAATATTCTTGGTACTCGAAATTTTTCCAGAAACTGTACTTCCCAAAGTTTTGTTTTCTTTTGTACAACTCGTCTTGATTGCTAACTGGAAAGCCTTTGAAAATTTTCCAAAAGGAAGAGAGAGAGAAAAAAAATACATAAATCAATTTATTCTTAACGGAGAAATCTTTATTCTATATACGTAACCAATTATAATCGAAATACTTTTAAATAAAAGAATGCTTTCAAAGGTACACCCTTACTCGAGAAAACTAAATTAATGAAAGACTCATGCTTTCTCTTCATTTAAGACGCATTGTTCCGTCGTGAGAATTTCGGGAAGAAATTAAAAGCGGAAATCCTTTTAAGTTTCGGAAATAAGTATTTCAAATCGTTAGGGAATTTATTGTTCTATCTTTTCCCATTTTCACACAGGCGCTTTTCTACGTTTCCGAATAGCATGCGTTGTTATTTTTTTTTTATTATTTTTTTTTATTGTTCGTTGTAGTTTCTCTCTTAATGATTTGAAATATACTTCTAAGGTTGAAAAATTCACCTAAATGATGTGCGTAATTTTTTTTTTAATTTAAAATTAATGTATTTTATTATTTGTTAAAACAATAGCAGCCGTAAATGAATTATTAATAATTAAAAAACATTCTTATTTATTAATTTTATTAAAATATAACTAATATAATATAAGATACCTAAATGACATGAATCCTGATATCAGGAAGAGAATTATTTCAGCTAATCACTGTTTCTTTGGTTTGAGATCATTACTGAAGTCTCACTTAATAAAAAAACGACAAAATTTCTGTTGTATAACGTACTGATTAAATTACTTTTGACTTATGCCTCAGAGGCATAGACCTTGATAAAAAAAAAAAGAGAAGATCTTGGCGATTTTTGAAAGGAAGGTCCTGCGAACCATATTTGGTGCTGTTCTCGATAATTACAGTTGGAGAAAAAGATATAATTTTAAAATATAAAACATTTTTAATGATGATGATGATATTAAGTCCATAAAACTGAGTGATATAAGCAGGACATATAGAAAGAATGACCCCAGAACGAAATTTTGAATTCAATTTCTAATAAAAGACCAAAGGGAAGGCGAAAAAGGAGATTGAGAGACTGTGTGGATGAGGACTTTGCCATTCTAGAAGTAAGGAAGAGACCAATTGCTGGGTTCGATTGATTGAATGAATATTAACGTCGCACTGTTCAGCTACACGAGGGCTTTTGGCGACGGACCACGTAATTTTAACCAAGGTCAAGTGACGTGGACGACACCTGAGCTGGCACCTCTCCCCTCTCCTAACTACCGCACCCCACCAACGGGAGGACGTTTCAGCTCTCGACAGAATTAACGTGCATCGCTGCCCTACACGGCGGGTCTTTAGTGGTACTGGGCTCGAACTCGTGACAAGGCAAGCCACGATCCGATACCTATACCACTCGGCTACCGCGGCCACGACCAATTGCTGGGAGAAAGGAAGTATGGGAAAACTTCTGAAAAAGGCTCAAGCCCACAAAGGCCTGTCATGTCTATGCTAATGATGATAAATAATATAATAATAAAATTAATCAATAAGGGTAATGTAAAATACAGTCGAACCTCTATATAACGAACCTCTACATTGCGAATTTTTCTATATAACGAAATTTTTCCTGGAATGAAGAACATTTCACGATATCCCTCGTAAGATAACCTCTCTATAGCGAAGTGCAGTTTCTATATAACGAACTTTTTCTTTTGTGATTCATTTTTTTTCTCCCTATTTTTAAAGTAGTTCTGAACATTTCAAGTTATTTTCCCTTTTAACACATTTTATGGTGGTCATACATCTTGAACTAGTTTCATTAGATTTTAACTCGCCGAGAACAATAGAGTTCTGGATATTTCCTCCAAGAAGTGCAACCTGTAAGCTCTATTGTCCAGTTCACTAGAAATATATTCGATATCCCCCTTTCCTCCTCAGTGGAGTTGTCTAGTGTCCCCGTGTTCTAGTTATAAAATAATGTATGTTTAATATTACTTTTATGCTTTCAATTATAGAGAAAATGTTCTTAAAATTCATTAATTTTAATATAAAATTATTTTCTTAATATTGAAAATACAGCGTATTCGACATTATTTTTTCTTGTTTTTCTTTCAGTTTTTCTTTCTTTCTTTTTTTGTGGATAAGATATATAAAATAAACATATATTAATTTTTAAAAAAGTGTGAATAATTACTTTTTTTTATATATAACGTGTGTTTATGAATTTAAAATTTTGTTTTATGTGGTTTATAAATTATATTGAAAGATGAACCTTTATATAACGAATTTTCCATATAGCGAACTTTTTTTCGGTATTTAATGACTTCGTTATACAGAGGTCCGACTATATAAATAATATATCTGTTAGTCAGAAATTTATTATTTTCTAAGACAGAGATGGACAAATAGCGACCCGCAAAACACATACAGCCGACAAAGAGTTTTTTTTTTTTTTTTGTCTTTTTTGCTGTGAGAAAAATTGCTAGATAAGAAAAAGTTCTAAAAAAGTGTGATAGGTACGTGTCTCGTTAAACAGGATTCTAAAATTAAATGCGCTTTCAGCTATAGATATGAAATTAACAAAATTAATAAATTAAATTAAACCGCCACTATTTTATTTGACATACTTATTGATTTTTGTGTTACAATTTATACCTTTTCTGATTTGCAAATTTAACTGTTGTTGTTACGACTCCCACCTTATGGATAATAACATCAGATCAAAGCCCGCGAAATTCATCACGTCAAAGGGCTACATATACGCCATATAATCCTTAGCTTTAAACACCACACAGGTGACTGCAATTTGGCTCGAAATCCAACCCAATTTTAAGGGAGAACAACATCCTGGGGGTGGTCAAGGACCTCCCACCTCTATTCCCCTTCCACCAACCTCACGAGAGAACATGCTGCTCGACGGCTATTTAGAGTATCCCCATGTCTCAAAGGCACTATAAACTTACAAACATCCATGTCTTCTCCGGGATTCGAACCCAGGTTCAAGGCCACAGGAGTCAACGTTACTAGCCTCTACACCGGATGGGTGAATCAAATTTTACTAATGAATGCAATCATTTTAAAAAGGGGTGCCCCTCTTGTATCCCCCTACAATCTACTTTTCGAGATAATACAATTGCCTGCCTCTTCTGTAAGACATTAACCTTATTTAATCATTTATATAATATTTAAAATGATTAAGAACAATTTTCTAAATGTTCAACATTAATTTTATTTTTTTCGGAGGAAAAATACTTATTAACTAGTAGTAAATATTTTCTAAGCTTATATAATTCACTGAAATAGTTTATTATTTATGATATTAATTATCTCTCAGTGATAAACTATCATTCATATTTTTAAATTTCACATTTCCAAAACTGGAATGAACCATACACAAGTTAAATAAGGGATCTCATTATATATTTACACGTGCTAAGTAAAAAAGGGAAGATTGCAATTAAAATTTATAATTCACTATTTATCTTAAGGTAATTAGTTCCAATTTTCTTAGCTTAACTAATGAGATTTAGGACAAAGGTAGTTTAAAACGTTTTAAATAAAAACTATTTTTTTTCGTTTTATTTTGTTCAGTTCTATTGAAGTAAACAGCTCTTGAAACTTGAATGAATGCCTACTAATTTATCTTGAAAATTATATCAGCTGTTTATTAAATAAAATTTTTCTTTAAAGTATTAAATTTCGATCGTGACAGACAAAACATTCCTAAGAAACCGTGTTCGTAACCTTTTAGCAAAACGAGACCGTGACTAGGTACCAAGGTCTAATACTTTCAAATTAAAGGTCTAAATTTTTAAAAACCTTTATGATTGAAAAAATCTTTAAATATACGAACGTTTTTCTTACTATAGCATCCACTAAAGAAAACATTTAATTTTACTTGCTGTAATTTTTACAAAAAGCAGTCATGAAAAAAATTCGTTTAACTACGTAACACATCGCTTAAATTAATTAATATTTCTTTAAATCTAAAAGAATTTGCATACATTATTAAATAAAAAAATGCAAAAATTTTGAAGTTAGACAACAAGCTGGATATTAAAACAATTAGTTTTTAATTATTTTCTCACTCATTTGAATTTCCGTTAAAAAAAAGATACTTTTTTTTTCTTTTTAATTGTATGCATTAAGTAAAGAAAACTTTTTGTTTCACTTCGTATTCTTTAAAAAAAGAAATAGAGTGTGCTTTTTCAGGTGCCATAAAAAGTATCATGAAATTTTATCACGTCAATCGCATCAAAAATATTAATACGCATATAAATCATTGATTTTTATTTCAATATTAAGTACCCACTTATTATTTGTAATTAATTTTAAAATTTTGATTTTTCCTTTGAATTTTGATACTTATTATTTTTAACGCTAATAGATGAATGCTAAATATATAGAAAAAATTAAGTCCACTTCATTATGTTTTCTTACACGTGTTTTGCTTAAAGATAATTAAAATTTGACAAGATTGCTTTCTTCTCAAATAGTTAATTATTACTCTTGCAATTATTTAAACCTCAAATCCTTTTAATTGTCATATTCAAAAAAC